GGTTTGCGTTAGTTTGCTGACCGAGGGGTCCCAGGATCGATTCTCGTCAAAGACATGTACCTTTATTGTGGGCACATCCCCGGTAGGGGGTGTGCAGGAAGCAGCTGGTCCATGTTTCTCTCATCGATGTTTCTGGCTATCTATCCCTCTCTCGTCCTCTCTGTAAAAGAATCAATAAAATATATATTTTTTAAAATTGGGTGTTGGTTGATAACTATCAAGACAGAAATCAGCCGAAACCGGTTTGGCTCAGTGATAGAGTGTCGGCCTGCGGACTGAAGGGTCCCAGGTTCAATTCCAGTCAAGGGCATGTACCTTGGTTGTGGGCACGTCCCCAGTAAAGGGTGTGCAAGAGGCAGCTGATCGGTGATTCTCTCTCATCGATGTTTCTAGCTCGCTCTCCCTCTCTCTTCCTCTCTGTGAAAAATCAATTAAAAAAAAAAAAAAATATATATATATATATATATATATATATATTTTAAAGACAGAAATCAAAATGGGATGTGGGCAGAATGATGAACATTTCATTATTATTAACATTGATTTCAGGGAGGAAGGGAGAGGGAGAGAGAGAGATACAAACATCAATGATAAGAGAAATTGGTTGATTGGTTGCCTCATGCATGCCCCCCACTGGGAATTGAGTTGTGACTTCTTAGTTCATTGGTCAACTGATAATCCTGCTGGCCAGGCTCACTTTTTGGGGGGGAGGGGGATGTAGAGAAAAGGAGAGTCTGGATTCATTATTTATTTTTAAAATATATATATTTTTATTGATTTCAGAGAGGAAGGGAGGAGAGATAGAAACATCAATGAGTGTCATTGATCAGTTGCCTCCTGCATGCCCCCTACTGAGGATTGAGCCTGCAACCTGGGTTTGTGCCCTAACTTGGAATCAACCTATGACCTCCTGTTTTATAGGTCGATGCTCAACCACTGAGCCATGTTGGCCAAGCAACATTTTATTTTTTATTAATTGAAGTGTATTTTTATTGATTTCAGAGAAGAAAGGGGAGGGATGGAGGAAGGGCTAGAAACATCAACGATGAGAGAGAATCATTGGTTGGCTGCCTCCTACATGGACCCCCCCCCCCCCCCCCTTTTCCCCAACTGGGGATTGAGCATGCAACCTGGGCATGTGCATTTGGTCAGAATTGAACCCAGGACCCTTCTGTCCACCGAACCAAACTGGCTAGGTAGGGCTCATTATTTTTTAAATTTTATTTTTAGTGTTGAAAGTATTACAAGTGTCCTCATTTTGCCCATGCCTCCTTCACTTGGCTCCCACTCTACCCGAGTCCCTCGATGCACTATAAGTTCTTTGATTAATCTGTTCCCACTTCCTTTTCCTCCTTCCCTCTGAGATCTGTAGTTTTGTTCCATGCTTACATGTCTTTGGGCCAATTTTGTTTGTCAGTTTATTTTGTTTATTGGATTCCACATATAAATGAGATTATGCAATCTTTATCTTTCTCTGACTGGCTTATTTTGCTTATCATAATATTCTTCAGGTTCATCCATGCTGTCTTAAATGGCAAAATGTCCTCATTTTTTATAACTGCATTGTATTCCATTGTGTAAATATACCACAGCTTTTTTATCCACTCAACTACTGATGGGCAGATTAGCTATTTCCACAACTTAGTTTTTGTAAGTAATTCTATAACATAGAGGTACATATTTTCTTTCTGATTGGTACTTCAGGATTCTTAGGATACATTTCCATAAATGGGTTCGCTGGGTCAAAAAGCAGTTCCTCTTTTTAACTTTTGAGGAAACCATACTTTTTTCCACAGTGGCTGAACCAGTCTACATTTCCACCAACAGTGCACAAGGTTTCCCTTTTTTCCATATCCTCACCAGCAATTGTTTATTGATTTATTGATGGTATCCTTGTGGCTGGTATGGGTCTTTGTCATTGTAGCTTTAATTTGTCCACTTCTTTTTTTGTTTCCATTTGCTTGTAAAATTTTATTCTATCCCTTTATTTTCATCCTGTGTGAATCTTTTATTCTGAGGTGGGTCTTCTTGATTTTCATTACTTTAAATATTTCATGCCACTTCCTTTTGACCTGTAGGTTAGGGTTGTTTTTTTGGTTTTGTTTGTTTTTGAGAAATCAGCTGACAGCCTTATGGGAGCTCCCTGGTAGGTAACTATTTCCCTTTTTGCTCTTAAGATTCTCTCTTTGTCTTTAACATTTCCTATTTTAATTATGATATGTCTTGGTGTGGATCTTTTTGGATTCATCTTATTTGGAACTCTATGCTTCCTGAACTCGTGTGACTTTTTCCTTTACCAGGTTAGTTCTGTCATTTCTTCGAAGAAGTTCTCTGTCCACTACTAATTTTCTTTCTTTTTTTTCTTTTTAAAAAAATATATTTTATTGATTTTTTACAGAGAGGAAGGGAGAGATATAGAGAGCTAGAAATGTCGATGAGAGAGAAACATCGACCAGCTGCCTCTTGCACACCCCCTACTGGGGATGTGCCCGCAACTCAGGTACATGCCCTTGACCGAAATCGAACCTGGGACCTTTCAGTCCGCAGACCGACGCTCTATCACTGAGCCAAACCGGTTTCGGCCACTACTAATTTTCTACTCCCTCTGGTATCCCTATGATATGAATATTGAGCCATTTCATGTTTTCCCAAAGTGCACTTAAAACTGCCTATGCTTTTTAAGTGTTGTGTGTGTGTGTGTGTGTGTGTGTTTTATCTTCCCTGAGCATATTTTCTGTTGGATTTTAGAGAGAGGGAAAGATAGAGAGAAATATTCTTTTTTTTTTTATTCTTATTTTATTTTATTTATTTTTACATATTTATTTTTGATTTTTTTTTGCCCCCCTCCCTTCCTCCTACATATCCCCTCCCTCCCCAGAGTTTTATGTCCATTGGTTGTACTTATATGCATGTATACAAGTCCTTGGGTTGATCTATTATCTCCCCCAGATCCTCCTCCCCTCCCCACTGTAATTTGACAATCTGCTTGTTGCTTTACTGTTTCTATATCTATCTTTTGGTTCATCAGTTTATAATGTTTTTTATTGTCCACAAATGAGTGAGGTCATGTGGTGTTTCTCTTTCATTGATTGGCTTATTTCACTCGGCAAGATGTTCTCCAATTCCATCCAGGTTGCTGCAAATGATGAGAATTCCTTCTTTTTTATGGCAGCATTGTATTCCATTGTGTAGATGTACCATGGTTTTTTGATCCAATCATCAGCTGACGGGCACCTAGGCTGTTTCCAGATTCTGGCTATTGTAGATTGTGCTGCTATGAACATAGGGGTGCATATATCTTTTCTGATTGGTGTTTCAAGTTTCTTGGGATATATTCCTAGAAGTGGGATTACTGGGTCAAATGGGATTTCCATTTTCAGTTTTTTGAGGAAACTCCACACTGCTCTCCACAGTGGTTGCACCAGTCTGCATTCCCACCAGCAGTGCACGAGGGTTCCTTTTTCTCCACAACCTGGCCAACATTTGTTATTTGTTGATTTGTTGATGTTGGCCATTCTGACAGGTGAGAGAAATATTCTTGTGAGAGAAGCATATTAATTGGTTGCCTCTTGCACATGCCTCGACCAGGGCCCTGGCCAGGGAGGATCCTGCAATTGAGGTATGTGCCCTTGACCAGAATTGAACCCAGGATCCATCAATCCACAGGTTGACGCTCTATCCACTGAACCAACCCGGCTAGGGCTTAGTGTTTTTCTTTTTCCTGCTCTAGTTGAGTGTTTTTTTCTATGTTGTCCTCCTAGTAGCTGATTTGATCCTCTGCTTCATCAACCTTAAAATCCTTTCCAATGTATTCTTGATGTCAGAAGTAGTATTTTTCTTTTCTGACTTGTTCTATTCATGGTTTCTATGTCCTTTTCCATGCTGATGTTGTTCCCACTAAGTTCCTTATAGTTCTGCCTAAGTTCCTTGAACATCTGTGTAGCCATTACTTTAAACTCTATTTCTGATAAATTACTTAACTCCATCTCATTTAGATCTTTTTGTGGCGATTCCTCCTTTTGTTTGGGGGTCGTTCCCTTGTTTTTGTTTAATAGATATAAGTGCTGTGACTCCTGGTCTTCTGGGTGGCCTTTTGTTGTAAATGTCCTGGTGGGCCTAGTGGTGCATTCTCCTTGAACTCCTGAGAAGGATGCTGCAGAGTGTCTATCTTGTGGGTTATTTGGGCTCTTCTATGTAACTGAGTCTTTTTTTTTTTTTTAAATATATTTTATTGATTTTTTGCAGAGAGGAAGGGAGAGAGATAGAGAGCTAGAAATGTTGATGAGAGAGAAACATCTACCAGCTGCCTCCTGCACACCCCCACCAGGGATGTGCCCGCAACCAATGTACATGCCCTTGACCGGAATCGAACCCAGGACCTTTCAGTCCGCAGACCGATGCTCTACTATTGAGCCAAACTGCCTTCGGCTGTAACTGAGTCTTGATTGTTGTCCCTTTTGTCGGTTAGGTCTCCTCTCATGCTGATAACTGTGAAGGAGGGAGGCCAGCATATCAAGAGATATTTATATATCAAGTAAGATAAGACCAATATTTAAGAGCAAAGAGTTTGTTGTAATTTCATGAATGTTATTTCAATGAATTGGAAGGGGTGGAAATCAAAATGAAGTGTATACAGAGTAAGAGGTAAGAAAGTTGAAATAGTAAAAAGAGATAGCTCTTTGATATAGTTAATTAGAAATGGTGAAGACAGAAGTGCTGGCTAAGGAGAGTATGAAATACACTTCTTCCATGGACCCCAAGTGCTTTGAGAGTATGATAATGTCCTATTTACCAATGTTATTTCATATTTCAGCTTGTCTATTTGCTGGAGCAAATTCAAGATTGTAAGTTACTTGAGGACAGAAACTATCTAATTTTTCTTATACACAGAGCCTGACACATAATAGGTCATAAATAAATAGTTGAATGAATCAAAAAAGATATATTTTCTTCTCTCTTTATATTAAAAAGTAAAATAATCTTTCTTTTTTTTCTTATAGATTAAGCATATGATGGCTTTTATTGAACAAGAAGCCAATGAAAAAGCAGAGGAAATAGATGCAAAAGTAAGAATTCATGTTTCTAGGTTTAAGAAGTTATAAAGTTTTATGTTGTTTTGCTTTGTTAAATAGTAAGTAGTGAAATTATTTAACAATGCATTGCATGGGACTAATAAGAATATCTCTTATTGGCACACTCTCCCTCCAGGGAGCTCACCCATGCCATTACACACACACACACACACACACACACACACACACACACACCGCACATACACCTAACCTCTACAGGGCCCAATGAGACTTACAACAAGGTGAGCAATGGTCAGTGCTTGTCCTGAACTAACCCCCTGTACCTGTCTCCAAAGCTCCCTTTTCTCTGACTTCCCAGTGAGGCAAAGCAGCCCAGCCTAGGCTCTCCAGTTGCTTCTTCTATGCCCTTCCTTGTTTAACTGTCATAAATGTGTTTGTGCTGCGGTCATAAAATTGTGTTTGGTTTAAAATACACACACACACACACACACACACACACACACACACACACACACATCTTATATTTAATATTAAAAGTAAATTTCCTGCCCTGCCAGTGTGTTTCAGTAATTATAGTGTCGACCCACATACAAAAGGCTTTCGGGTTTGATTCCCAGTCAGGGACAAGTTCTTGGGTTTCAGTACCTGAGGTTCAGTCCTCAGCCCCAGTCTGGATCTGTGCAGGAGGCAACCCCATCAATGTGAGGACACATTGATGTGTTATTGTTTTTTTCTCTCTACCCCTCTCTCCTTCCACTCTCTATCTCTAAAAATAAGTGGAAAAATATCCTCGGGTGAGGATTAAATAAATAAGTATTCCTTTCAAGACATTCTGATTGCTAGTAAGTATCCTTAAATTTTACTGTAGGGATTTGAAAAGTAATGGTGAGGGATAAAAGACACATATACCTTAGAGGAGAATTCCAACTGATTTATGTAGATAACTTCCCTCTGCAGGGAATTGGAAATTAAATCTTTTCCCCAACTACCATCCTCATCAGAGTATGGGCTGAACTTAGGGAGCAACTTCCAAAGAATAGAATATGGAAAAGGCAAAAATATTAACTTTATGGAGGAAAAATATGACTTAACCAACTTTTTCACAGTTAACATCATCAGGGATGTGGGTCATTCATCAGGTTACCTGTTTATATGGTAGGAAGAGAATACTTGACCAATGTGGTATTTTCCCCAAAACCTATAACACCAGCCTAATTAATATAAAAAAAAGGAATAGTCTCAAAACTGTCAATGTTATGCCCTAGCTAGTTTTGGTCATGAACTAATTCCCTTGTAGGCAGAAGAAGAGTTCAACATTGAGAAAGGTCGTCTTGTGCAAACCCAAAGACTGAAGATTATGGAATACTATGAGAAGAAAGAAAAGCAGATAGAGCAGCAGAAAAAAATGTAAGTAAATCCTGGTCACAGTATAAAACTAAAGGAGTTTTACAAAGACAGCGGAATAAGAGGACAGAGCAGGTGCTTTGAAGTCAAGCAAGTATGGGTTCTTGTCGTAAATGGATTACTTACTACATATCTGACCTTGGATAAGTTGCTTAACTTTTCTTTGCTCATTTGTGATAATGGAATCCTTATAGAATTATTGAAAGATTAAACTGGAATAACAGATACAAAATTGCTTGCCACTTGGTGAGCACTTAATAAATATTTCTTTATATTTGAAAATATGTTGATAGAGGAGAACCCAGATGGCAGCATAGGTCAACACCTGTACTTGCTGCCTCCCATAACCACATCAAAATTACAACTAAAGCCGTAGCTGGTTTGGCTCAGTGGCAGGAGCATCACCCTGCAGACTGAAGGTTCCTAGGTTCAATTTCAGTCAGACATATGCCTGGGTTTCAGGCTCTATCCCAGTAGGGGCTGTGTAGGCGGCAGCCGATCAATGATTCTCTCTCATCATTGGTGTTTCTATCTCTCTCCCTTTCCCTTCCATTCTGTAATCAATAAAAAATATATATTACAATTAAAATGCAGAACAACCATAATTCCAAACTCCATGAAATCTGGCTGATCGGAAGTTCTATAACTAGAGAAGTATAGAACAAAGTACATTGAGACTGGTAGGAGGGGCAGAGATCCGGATCAAGCTGATCCGACACCCACATGTGCCGTTATTTTAATGAGGAGTAGACTGTCTCTGCGGAGGCCGCCTTTCAGGTGCAAGGGGCCTGAGCCCACACTAGTACCCTAGCTCAGGTTTCCAGAGTTGTGTAGAAAAGCTCCCCAACTATAAGCTGTAAAAACCAGTGGGAGTTGTGGCTGAATAAGAGAGGCTGCTGGAGTCCCAGGTTTTCCTTTTAAATTGCCCAGGTACAATCTTACAACACAGCTCCACTTCTTCCGAGCGCCAATGCCGGGGGACCCAGGCACATATGGAGAGGAACTGGATTATCTGGCATGAGGGCAGAAACTCTGGGGCAGTTTTCTCCCAGACGGGGTACTCACAAGGGGCATTGTTCTGGTGCTGGGACCTCCCCTCTCTCAGGGCTGACTAGCAGCCATATTTGAGTCTCCCTCAGCCTGGAGTAAACTGGTTGTTTCACATTGAAAATTCCCTGAGACTGCCCCATCAAGTTTGCAGCCCGACCCAACCTGTTTGCAGTTGCTTTTCCATATAAATGGCCTGTCCTGGCTCAGGCTTCAAATCCTGTTAAAAATCTCTCAAACAAGCTGAAAGTGTTGACAGCATGCCCCCAAACTTATCAATAAAAGGCCCGAGACCCAGTATTAGCAACAGCCTGCCTTGCTTCACAGGCCCAATACAAGTAGCAGTCATCTGTAGACCTGTCTAAAGTTCCTCCTGGGTAACTCCTGTGGCTGCCTTTGTACCTCCTGGGAAGCCCCAGAGCCAGTGCACTCATTTGGCAGCCTCAGACCATACCAGATTACAACTCTACACATCCAGAAGCCACACACTCAAGAGGAAGACTCAGTGAGCACGAAACCCTCCCTAAGTCCTGCTCCATAGGGGTATCTCCTGCACAGCAGCTTTCCCACTGTAGTTGCAGCTGGTCCTAGAGGTCAGCTCTTCCCAGTGACGCCAACAGCAATCAAAGCTCAATTCCAACAAGACTGCACACAGCTCACACAGGGTCCCTGGAGTGCCATATCAGGTGACTTGGGGCGGCTGAGCCATTAGATCCTACAGGACACCTACTTCAGAAGGTCATCCTACCAACTCCAGGAGACACATATACTCTACCTAATACATAAAAAGAAACACAGGGAAGCAGCCAAAATGGGGAGACAAACATGTGGCAAATGAAATAAATGGAAGCAAGCGAACTGCTGGATACAGAGTTCAAAATCATGTTATAAGCTTATTCAAGGATCTTCATGAGACTTTCAAGGATCTTAGTGAATGTCAAAGACTAGAAAAAGAACTAGTCAGAAATTAAGCGTACACTAAGTGAAATAAAGAATAATTTACAAGGTTTCAACTGTAGAGGATTCCGAGAATCAAATCAAGGATTTGGAATATAAGGAAGCAAAAAAACACCCAATCAGAAGAGCAAAAAGCAAAAAGTCCAAAAATATGAAGATAGTGTAAGGAACCTCTAGAACAACTTCAAGCCTACCAACATTTACATTATGGGGGTGTCAGAAGGAAATGAGAGAGAACAAAATATTGAAAACCTATTTGAAGAAATAATGACAGAACACTTCCCCTACCTGGTGAAAGAAATACACTTACAAGCCTAGGAAGCTCAGAGAGGCTCAAACAAAAGGAACCCAACAAGGCCCACCCCAAAATACATCATAATTAAAATGCCAAGGCTTAAAGACAGACAGAACCTTAAAAGCAGCACGAGATAAGCAGTTAGTTACCTATAAAGGAGAGCCCATAGGACTGTTAGCTGACTTCTTAACAGAAACTTTGCAGGCCAGAAGGGAGTGGGCAAGAAATACTGAAAGTGATGAATAGTAAGGACCTACAACTAAGATTACTCAGCAAAACTCTAATTTAGAATTGAAGGTCAGATAAAGAGTTTCACAAACCAGAAAAAAACTAAGGTAGTTCATCACCACCAAACCAGTATTACATGAAATGTTGAAGGGTATTCTGTAAGAATAAGAAAGAGCAAAAGAAGGAGAAAGATAAAATATATGAACAACAAAAGGCAACAGATATGTATCTATCAACTGAGTATAAAAATCAAAATAACCAACCATAAACCTAATGAACAAAATAAACTGGTGAATAAAATTGAATTGGCATGGAAACTTGGAATAAATTGATAAATCTCAGAGGGAAGTGGGTGGGGAAGGGGAAGAGATTAACCAAATATCTTTATCTATTGACAGAGACAGTAGGGTGGTGAAGGCCTGGGGTGGAGAGAACCAATGGGAGTAAAAAGGGTGACTTCTGTACTATTCTCAACAATGAAGGTTTAAAAGAAAAAAAACAAGTTGGTAGAAATAATTAAGTTAATTTTAGTAGACTTCTCTATGGTTTTTGTTTTTTATACTTTACTAATATTTTTTTCTATCTTTCACAGTCAGATGTCCAATATGATGAATCAAGCAAGACTCAAAGTTCTCAGAGCGAGAGATGATCTTATTACAGTGAGTAATTAGTTTCTGTTAGTTATGAAATTGTATTTATTTGCCTATTATAGAGAACTTACTAGTTAACATTAGCTAATTAAAGAGTTGAACTAGTGGTCCCATAATGGATTTGTGGACATTGAAAGGAAAAATAATTAAAAGAAATATTTTAATATTGCTATTTGCCCTTTCTCCCTCAGTGCCTTTGAGCGGGATGGCGGCCCCACCCCCCACTGCTGCCACAGGTCACTGTCTACTGGGCAGTGGGCAGGGCTATTGGGCTCCCACCCAGCTCCCTCAAGTGCCTGAGAGCCAGGCGGCGCCTTCCCCCAGCCTTCCCCACTGGTCCGGTCTGTGTCTGCGGGGCAATCAGGTCCCTGATCGCACCAACGTTGGTCTGGTGCTGACTGCTCATCTGCTCCACCATGGTCCCAATCTCATCAGGGCCCATTGGGGCCCGCCGCACCTCCACTGCCACCTGCTGCCAGGACCATGTCTATGATGTCCTCCATGTTTCATGCCACCCCCTGGTGGTCAGCGCATGTTATAGCCAGTGGTTGAATGACCCCCTGAGGGGACAATTTGCATATTAGGCTTTTATTATATTATATAGGATGATTTTGAGAACCAGAGAATATAAATATAAAAATGAATAAGTTATGTTCCTGTCTTAATGGACCCTCTGATCTAACAGAGCTCATAGATCCTTCTAGATTATGTCATGGATTGACAACACATATTAGGGTGATAGGCATTGTGGAGGCTGGAAATGTAGGTTAGAGTTAATCTAAGGCATAAGTACAGGTTATATGTACTTTTTTGCCTACTTTCAATAGAAAGTTTAATTGAAGTTTTTATTTTATTTTATTTTATTTTATTTTATTTTATTTTATTTTATTTTATTTTATTGGGACTACCATAAATAAAGATCCATGTATGAATGTATAGGCTAAGTTTAACGGGGAAAAGGTTAGACACAAGAAAACTATTTGGGCCCTAACTGGTTTGGCTTAGTGGATAGACCATCCACCTGTGGACTAAAGGGTCCCAGGTTTGATTTTTTTTCAAGGGCATGTACCTTGGTTGTGGGGGTATTTCCTGATAGGGGGTGTGCAGGAGGCAGCTCATCAATGTTTCTTTCATTGATATTTCTAAGACTCAATCCCTCTCCTTCTTCTCTGTAAAAAATCAATAAAATATATTTTCAAAAAAGAAAACCATTTGGGAAGTACTCTTGTCCTTGGAAGAGGACAGAAAACCTCCAGAAACATGCCATTTAGTTGAGAAAGCTTAGAGTTATTAGACTTGTATTCAGGAACTAAACAAGGATGCCTGCTGATATTCTGCTGTTATTCATTGTTATTTTAGAGGACCTAGATTCCTTATAAAGTGGAGAAATAAGTTACATAAATATTGGAAAGGAAGATACCATTATTTTTGCACATATAATCATTTATATAGAAAATATAACATACAAAAAACAGTAAGAACTAGTAATTCTTTCAAAAGATGACTGGTTACACAGAGAACTTACAGGAATTGAATTTTTTTCTATGCCAATTATAACCAGTTAGCAAGTAAAATAAAAGTAGATCTCTTGATAATAGCTACAAAAATCATTTAATTTTTGGGAATAAATTTAAATGAATTATACCCTGCCCAGATACAGTCCAGGTTTAAGAACTTTGGAATCCCTTTGAGGTTTGAATTTCTGTTTCACTCTATTTTCTATAAAATGGAAAAAAACATACTACCTGAAGCTTATTTAGAATTAAATTAGATAACCTAAGTAAAAATGCCAAGAATAAGGCCTAGCTAAGATATATAAGCAACCTAAGTGTCCATTAATAGATGAGTGAATATAAAAGCAGTGATACATATACAAATGGAATAGTGCTTGGCCATAAAAATGAATGAAATCTCACCATTTGTGACAGCATAAATGGACCTAGAGATTATTATGCGAAGTGAAATAAGTCAGAAGGGCAAATACCATATGATTTGTAAGTGGCTAGGAGATGGGATGGAGCAATTTGAACAAAAAACAGAGCTCTTAATTTGACAATACATTCAGGAAATGGAAATTATGTGTGGAATCTAAAGAGCAAAATAAAAAAAGAAAATAGAAACAGACATAGGTAACATTGAACAGATTGATTGTGAAAGGGGAGGACAGTTGGGGGTTTGGGTGAAAAAAGTGAAGGGATTAAGAACTGCAAATTGGTCGTCACAAAATAGTCTCAGGGGTGTAAAGTACAGCTTAGAAAATATAGTCATTAATGTTTTTTGTGCTTTTTTCCCATTTTTTATTAAGGTATTAAATGTGTACATATCTTACCATTGCCCCACACACACACCCATACATGCCCTCCTTCCCCAGAGTTTTGTGTCCATTGGTTATGCTTATATGCATGCATATAAGTCCTTCGGTTGATCTCTTATCTCCCCCATATCTCCCTACCCTCCTTGCTGTAATTTGACAATCTGTTGCTTTACTGTCTCTATATCTATCTTTTTGTTCATCAATTTATAATCTTTATTATCCATTAATGAGTGAGATCATGTGGTGTTTTTCTTTCATTGACTGGCTTATTTCATTCAGCATAATGTTCTTCAGTTCCATCCAGGTTGTTGCAAATGATGAGAATTCCTTCTTTTTTATGGCAACATAGTATTCCATTGTGTAGATGTACCATAGTTTTTTGATCCAATCATCTGCTGGCAGGCACCTAGGCTGTTTCCAAATCTTGGCTATTGTAAATTGTGCTGTTATGAACAAAGGGGTGCATATATCCTTTCTTATTGGTGTTTCCAGTTTCTTAGGATATATTCCTAGGAGTGGGATTACTGGGACAAATGGGAGTTCCATTTTCAGTTTTTTGAGGAAATTCCATACTATTCTCCACAGTGGTTGCACCAGTCTGCATTCCCACCAGCAGTGCACGAGGGTTCCTTTTTCTCCGCAACCTCGCCAACACTTGTCATTTGTTGATTTGTTAATGATAGCCATTCTGGCCGGTGTGAGATGGTACCGCATTGTCATTTTGATTTGCATCTCTCGGATAATTAGTGACTTTAAGCATGTTTTCATGTGTTTCTTGGCCTTCCTTCTGTCTTCTCTTGAAAAGATTCTATTTAGGTCCATTTCTCATTTTTTAATTGGATCATTTATCTTCCTTTTATTAAATTGTATAAGCTGTCTATAGAAGTTGGAAATTAAATCTTTATCTGTGATAACATTTGCAGATATGTTCTCCCATATAGTGGGCTTTCTTGTTGTTTTGCTGATGGTTTCTTTTGCTGTAAAAAAGCTTTTTATTTTGATTCAGTTTCACTTGTTTATTTTCTCTCTAGCTTCCATTGCCCTAGGGGTAGTATCAGTGAAGAAGTTATGTCTGAGATTTTGCTGCCTGTGGATTCCTCTAGTATAATATTTTTATGGTTTCCTATCTTATGTTTAAATCCTGTATTCATTTTGAGTTTATGTTTGTGTATGGTTTAAGTTGGTGATCTAGTTTCATCTTTTTGCATGTATCTGTCCAATCTTCCCAACACCATTTATTATAGAGACTGTCTTGACTCCATTGTATGTTCATGCCTCCTTTGTCAAATATTAATTGAGTATAGAGGTTTGGGTCGATATCCGGATTCTCTATTCTATTCCATTGATCCATATGTCCGTTCTTGTGTCAGTACCAGTTTGTTTTGAGAACAGTGGCTTTGTACTCCAGCTTGAAATCTGGTATTGAGATCCTTCCTACTTTGTTCTTCTTTCTCAGGATTGCTGTGGCTATTCGGAGTCTTTTTTTGTTCCAGATGAATTTTTGAAGAGTTCTTTCTAGATCTCTGAAGTATGCCTTTGGTATTTTAATGGGGAGTTCATTGAACCTATAAATTGCTTTGGGAAGTATGGATATTTTAATGATGTTGATTCTACCAATCCATGAACATGGTATGTTCTTCCATCTATTTACATCTTCCTCTATCTCTTTTTTCAGTGTCCTAAAGTTTTCCACATATAGGTCTATTACCTCCTTAGTTAAGTTTATTCCTAGGTATCTCAATTTTTTTGGTGTGATGGAAAATGGGATTGATTTATTAGTTCTGTTTCTGTAAGTTCACTATTGGTGTATAAAAGGCCATAGATTTCTTGGCATTAATTTTGTATCCTGCTACATTGCCAAATTCATTTATTAAGTCTATTGGTTTTTTGATAGAGTCTTTTGAGTTTTTTATGTACAATATCATGTCATCTGCAAATAAGGACAACTTTACTTCTTCTTTTCCAATTTGGATGCCTTTTATTTCTTCTTGTCTAATTACAGTGGCTAGTACTTCCAGTACTATGTCAAAAAGGAGTAGTGAGAGTGGGCAGCCTGTCTTGTTCCTGTTCTTAGAGGGCATGGTTTTAGTTTTTCCCATTGAGTATGATGTTATCTGTGGGTTTATCACATATAACTTTATAATGTTGAGGTATGATCCTTCTATTCCCACCTTGTTGAGAGTTTTTATCAGGAAAGGGTGTTGGATTTTATCAAATGCTTTTTCTGCATCAATTGATATGACTATTTTTATCTCTCAATTTGTTTATGTCCATTCCCCTCCCATATCGCCGACTCTACTACAATGAACAGCTATTATTGTTCATCAGGTTTTTCAATCTCATTTTGTTGTTTTTTTTTAATTAATAAACTTTTACACTTCTAAGAATAAATTTTAAAATCTAATAATTTTAAACCTTGTTTTTTTTCTGCCCTGGGAATTGAGAGCAAACTTGTTTACATGTAAACTTGCCCTTAGGCTATCAAAAGGTGTAGCCATTCAAGTGTAAATGGACACATTGTTTAAACATAGCTGCTGGTTGGAATTGGATTACCTGTTTTGGGTGGGTAGGGCTTGTCATTCCCTTTCTCCATTAAAATTAAGGTGTTAGCTTTAAAACCTCTTTTTGGCAAGAGACCTTAAACTTTCAAAACTTTAAATTTTTCAGATAGTAAATTAGTTTCTTAGCATTTTCTCAAATCAATAATACCTCCACATGCCCAAGGATACACTTCACACAAAAGACATTTCCAAATAGATCAACCAACCTCATCCGGGCCCCACACAAGGCACTCACAGATCAACACCCCAGCGCTATACTAACTCACCACATCCAGATCTAAGCCTTCCTCATTTGATTCAACAGACCTTCAAGTTCCCCCAAAAGTTTCCAGCCATGTCTGAGAGGCAGCCTTGGAGCTGAGGCAGGTGAGGAGCAAGGTGCTCCGGGCCTGGCCTCTGTTGCTCTGGTCCGTTCCACAACCAGCTACTCTGGGCCTCGCCACACCCGACCCAGCTGCTCTGGGCCCGGCTGCTCCGGGCCTGGCCCCTCCCAGCCTAGCAGCTGCTGCTCCGGGCCTGGCCGCACCCGACCTAGCTGCTCCGGGCCTGGCAGCTGCTTCTCCGGGCCTGGTCGCACCCGACCCGGCTGCTCTGAGCATGGTTGCTGCTGCTTTGTGCCTGGCTGCTCCCAACCCGGCTGCTCTGGGCCCGGCTGCCCCTGGCCTGGCTGCTCCGAGCCTGGTAACTCCTGGCCTGGATGCCCAAGGATACACTTCACACAAAAGACATTTCCAAATAGATCAACCAACCTCATCCACATGCCTCATCTGGGCTTGGCTGCTGATGTTCTGGGTCTGGCTGCTCCAGAACCGGCTGCTCTGGGCCCGGCCACTCTGGGCCTGGGTGTTCCTGGACTGGCCAACCTGGGCTTGGCCGCCTCCGCCTCAGGCCTGGCTGTTGCTGCTCTGGTTCTGACTGCTGCTGCTCTGGGGCCTGGTTGTTGCTGTTCCAAGCCCGGCAGGCACTGCCTTGTTCCTGGCCACTCTAGTCCTGGCCTCCGCCGTTCCAACATTCTGTCCCTTTTTTTTTTGACGCATTTATGTTGCAGTGTTGGCTGCTGAGTTGAGTTCTGACTTAGTTTTCGATTTTTCAAGATCTTCTTTGTATTCCTTCTTAAGTAATTTTACTATCTTTTGCTCTCCCTTATTTCTTCACATTGAAAACTTCTTCGGTTTCTTCCTCCTTGTCCTGGAAGTTCAGCAGGTTGGCCTGTGGCACCCCTTTGTTCTCTGCGGGCTCCTGTTCTGCTTCAGCCTGTTGCAGGGGTCGGCGCCGCCCAGGAAGCAGCCCTCGGCCTCGGCTCCATGGCCCGTGCTCAGCGGTCGAAGGCCCAGGGTCACCCCCCCCCCGGGGGGGGCCCCCCGTCGCCCGGCTCCTTGCTGGCGCCCGGCTGGCCAGCGCCCCGCTGGCTGGTGTCCAGCAGGGCCTCCTGCTCATCCTCGTGTTCCTCCAATCTGGAGCTTTTTTTCTCCTTCCCGCTAGGGGAGTCTAGCATCAGAGTCCACAGACTGTCCTCTGCGCGCAATGTGCGCAGCTCCGGGGGCTCACTTTTTGCCACTCCCCCAGGACTCCACCTCACAGCCCCGTCTCCCTCTGCTTGAGCCTGGGTCCCCAGGGATTGGCCTAGAACTGGGGTTCAGAGCAGTCGGGACTGGGGCTCAACACCGCCTGAAGTTTTGTTTCTTCCCACTAGGGCAATCCAGCATCAGGATCAACATTCCGTCCTCTGCGCGCAATGTGCGTGACTCCGGGGGCTCCACTTCTCACCGCTCCCCTGGGATTCCGCCTCACAGCCCCGTCTCCCCTGCCTGTGCCTGGGTCCTCAGGGTCTGGCCTAGAACTGGGGTTCAGAGCAGTCAAAACTGGGGCCCAGCATGGCCGGAGCTCCTGTTTCCTTCCCTCTAGGGCAATCCCACCTCAAGAGTCAACATTCTGTCCTCTGTGCGCAATGTGCGATACTCCGGGGGCTCGGCCTTTCGCCGCTCCCCCAGGACTCCACCTCACAGCCCCGTCTCCCTCTGCTTGAGCCTGGGTCCCCAGGGATTGGCCTAGGACTGGGGTTCAGAGCAGTCGGGAATGGGGCTCAGCACCGCCGGAGGTTTTGTTTCTTCCCGCCAGGGCAATCCAGCATTGACTCTGGGGGCTCTGCTTTTTGCCGCTTCTCTGGGATTCCGCCTCACAGCCCCATCTCCCCCTGCCCGAGCCTGGGTCCCCAGGGTCTGGCCCATAACTGGGGCTCAGCGCTGCCGGTTCTGGGGTTCAGCCCAGGCTGGGGTTTTTATAATATATATTTTTAAAAAACAAAACATTTTATTTCTAGCTTTATCCATAGAGTAAGAAATTATGAAAGAAAGTTGTCAAGCAGTTTGCTAGAACAAAGATTGACAAAAGATAAAAGGAAGGTGAAAAATAGAGAACAAGGGTGAAAATGTGAAAAGAAAATAGGCAAGATGTTTTGCTACCAAGTTTGGTCTCTTGCAGTCTTTTAGTTATTTTTCTCTGCTGTTCATCCTTTTTCCTTCCCTACTCAGATGCTTTCTAGGTTTAAAAGCTTTGGAATTCCTTTGAGGTTTGAATGTCTTACACTCCATCCTATATAATGAAAGGCTAATATGCAAATTGACCGAATGGCCGAACAACCCAGTTGCTATGATATGCACTGACCACCAGGGGGAAGGCGCTCAATGCAGGAGCTGCTCCCTGGTGGTCTGTGTGATCCCACAAGGGGAGCACCACTCAGCCAGAAGCCCTGAGCTGGACTCACAGTTGGCGAGTTCAGGGGCAGCGGTAGGAGCCTCTCCTGCCTCTGCAACAGTGCTAAGGATGTCCAATTGCCTACTTAGGCCCACTATCAGTTGGGCATCCCCCAAGAGCTCCTGGACTGTGAGAGGGCATAGGCCGGGCTGAAGGATGCCCATTCTCTCCCCAGTGCACAAATTTTGTGCATCGGTCCTCTAGTTTTCTGTACAATGGAAAAAGCATACCTGAAAGCTTATTTAAAATTAAATTAGATAGCCTAAGTAAAATGATAAAAATTATGCCTAACACAAATTATGTGTTGAGATGAGATAGAAATGTCTTTGAGGGATGTCTGCTAACTCTTCAAACTAGACAGGACCCAAGTAGACACGATTTTGAGGTTGACAGCATAACTTTTGGTTTTCTGCTTTCCAAGTCCAGAATTCTGTAATTTCAGACTTCTTAAAGGCAGCTAGGTTCAAGTGGACAGTTTGCCCTGGCAAATTCATAAAAGGCTGATGTGTATGCTGACATACCAACTGTAGAAATTTACACATCTGGGAAAAGCTGCATGGAGAACCAGAGTATAATAAGAAAGGTGTTTAAATTTAGAATCAAAGAATGTCACTAGGATATTAGTGATTTATAACATTATTGATCATAATTTACCTTTCAAACTAGCATAAAGAATATTAAAATTGTTGGGCATCTAGCCTTTTATTTTATTTATTTTTTTATTTTTATTTTTATTATTATTTTGCATTTAGCCTTTTAGAGGTAAGCAGGGAATTATTGCAGATAACTCATTGGTAACATCTCCATCCAGATGTTACCTATTTTTTCTTTAAATAAAAAAATAGAATCATCTTGTATAACTCTTAATAGCATTTCAAATCTGTATCATATAATTCTTTCCATGTTAGTCAGTTGTGTAGGTTTCTGAACTGATGAATAATATGGGTTAGCTAGAGTGTGACCTCCCTGGGAACCATGATGTTGCTTCGTGACAGCACCTGGTTTATCATATATCTCAGAGAATGTGTTGAATGGAAGCACAGCAATAAACTGAAGCAAGCATATGAACTAGTATCAGCCTCACATGTAGATAACTTCTTTCTTTTCCACTCATTGTAGGACCTACTAAATGAAGCAAAACAGAGACTTGGCAAGGTGGTAAAAGATACAACTAGATACCAAGTGCTGCTGGATGGACTGGTCCTCCAGGTACCCTTATAGGCCAGATCTATTACAGTTGATAACCATAATTCTTAAAAAATTGACAAAATATATTAGAGGCCAGCTATTTTTTTCTTCTTTTCTCATCTTAGCTTTTTTCTTTTCTTTTCTTTTCTTTTTTAATATATATTTTATTGCCGAAACCGGTTTGGCTCAGCGGTAGAGCATTGGTCTGCAGACTGAAAGGTCCTTGGTTCGATTCCGGCCAAGGGCATGTACCTTGGTTGCGGGCACATTCCCAGTAGGGGGTGTGCAAGAGGCAGCTAGTCGATGTTTCTCTCTCATCGACGTTTCTAGCTCTCTATCTCTCTCCCTCTCTGTAAAAAATCAATAAAATATATTAAAATAATAATAATTTAAAAAAAAAAATATATATATATATATATATATATTTTTTTTTTTTTTTTTTTTTTTTTTTTTGGTTTTTTACTGAGAGGAAGGAAGAGGGATAGAGAGTTAGAAACATTGATCAGCTGTCTCCTGCACACCCTCTACTGGGGATGTGCCTGCAACCAAGGTACATGCCCTTGACCGGAATCGAACCTGGACCTTTCAAGTCCGCATGCGGACGCTCTATCCACTGAGCCAAACCGGCTAGGGCTTAGCTTTTTTCCGTTTGCTCTTTTCCTTGTCTAATAGAGACAAGGAAATGTATACAAGGAGATGTATACTGCATGAAAAAACAGTAATGTCTGTCAGGTTGAATAAGACTTCCAGATTTGCCACTCTTTTATATTTTTAATTTTTTACATAACTCAAGGGTTAAATTTGATTGCAATCTTCAGCTTTAACTTATTTTTTTGAAAATACATTTTTATTTATTTTAGAGAGGAAGGGAAAGGGAGAGAGGGATAGAAATATCAATAATGAGAGAGTATTATTGATTGGCTGCCTCCTGCATGCCCCACATTGGAATCCAGCCCACAGTGAGGGCATGTGCCTGACCGGGAATCGAGCTATGACCTCCTGGTTCATAGGTCGATATTCAGCCATTGAGCCACACCGGCTGGGCTTCAGCTTTAACCTTTAAAGCTTTAAATTAGTTTTCCTAATTTGATTTTATCACTAATATTTGCTTTTGATATTGAGGTTCAGCCCAAAGACTGTATACATTTTAACTCTATACTGCTTGACTGTGAATTCTTATTCTACTTATGCCAATAATATTTGTCTTCAGCTTAGTTGATGTAAGATAAGACTCCCATATGAATTTTGTTTCTATCACCTGAGCATTGGGTATATTTTTTGGTTTGTGATAACAAGATCATGTTTCCTTGTTCTCATATTATGCACTGTCTTTTAGGGAAATTTACATTTACAAGGGGACATTCTTTTCAAAACTAGGTGGAAGAATCATAAAAACATTCTATTTATTCCTTAATAATTGCATCTGATTGTGTCATAGGGTTTGTACCAGTTATTGGAGCCCCGGATGATTGTTTGTTGCCGGAAACAGGATTTCCCTCTGGTAAAGGTAAAGAGCTTAGAGAAAGAAACAATTCTCTTTTTTTAAAAGATAAGAAACTTAGGAATGAAATGCATCCTAAGTTTCTGAGTGTCTGATCTTTAGATGACAGCTCAACCATGGAGATTAGAGGAGTTTTAACAAATTGTAGATATTCATTTAAGTGACCTCATCTTTCAGTTTCTTAAAGAGGTCACATTGCCATTTGAATTAGTACCCTCCCCCTTTTTGGAGACTTCGGAATACTGTATCTTTTGAAAATGCAACAATAGAGGCAGCACCTAGTAGAACTGAGCAAACATAGTTAACACTATCTTAAAGTGGCAACTGCTCTCAGACTAAGGAGGCTTGGCTCTAACCTATTACATTCCTATACCTAGAGAAAGAAGGTGGCTACCAGAAAAGAGGTTGATCAACAGTGTAAACATAGCTGTAATCCCAAGGGCAAATATTAAGGTGCTCTTCCATGCCCTTTCCAAGAAAGAAGATTCCCTGGTCTGAAGGGTGACACGCTGGCCCCATGACATGTACCTAAGTTGTAGTAGTAGGTTGACCCTCTGTGCTGAAGGAGACTGTGGCTGCTAAACCACAAGTCATAGAATGGACTCCCCTAGCTATGATTCTGTGTTATCAAATTGCTCTACAGATTAAAATTCTTCGATGTAGCTTGATTTCACTTAGTCTCTTAGCAATCACATTTCTTATAAATACATTTATAATACTCTAAAGGCCTGGTGCACAAAATTTGTACACACGTGGGGGGGTGTCTCTCAGTCCAGCCTGCACCCTCTTCAATCTGAGATCCCTCTCACAATCCAGGGCTGCTGGCTTCTAACCGTTCACCTGCCTGCCTGCCAGCCTGATCACCCCCTAACCACTCCCCTGCCAGCCTAATCAATGCCTAACTGCTCCCCTGCCGGCCTGGTTACCCCCAACTGCCCTTTCCTGCTGGCCCGGTCACCCCTAACTGCCCTCCTTTGCCAGCCTGGTCACCCCTATCTGCCCTCCCCTGCTTGTCTGATCACCCCCAACTGCCCTCTCCTGCAGGCCTGGTCGCCCCTAACTAACCTCCTCTGCAGGCCTGGTTGCCCCCAACTGCCCTCCCCTGCTGGCCCGGTCACCTCAACTTTTCTCCCTTGCCAGCCTGGTTGCCCCTAACAGCCCTCCTCTAACGACCTTGTTGCTTCCAACTGCCCTCCCCTGCTGACTATCTTGTGTCCACATGGGGGCGACCATCTTGTGTGTTAGAATGATGGTCAATTTGCATATTACCTCTTTATTCTATAGATGATATATTTTCATTCTTACTATAATTTGTCTCTCCAAATACCTTTTCTCCTAGGGAAAAAATTGTACCAGCCAGATTACTTGGTATTCATTCCCCTTAGTTTCCATGATAAATTAGTAAATTATGGTTCTAGTTTATAAACTGTGTCAGTAACTTGGATCCATGTTATTTTAACAGCGTTATTTATGGACTTCTACAACAGAGAGGAAAACTCATCAAAATTCACTAGGGTGATAATCTTGCTATTGAAGCAGGTCCAACTGCCAACTGGCCATTTTTGGATGACACAATGATAATGCTAGGTGTTAAGCAAGTTTCTTCTTGAAACTAAATAAGTATTAACATCCAGTGTCATGAGTATTTTTCCAAAGTGGTGTTGTATTAGATTTGAGAAGCAGGGAAGAGAAGAAGCTTTTTAAATATATGCATAAATCTGCTCAACTGGTAATATTATCAGAGAAAAATTTTTAAGTTCCTTCAAAGAAAATGTCATTTACATTTGTAGAGTGTGTAGAGTATTGCTCAAAGGACTTTCCACTGATTATGTTCTATCACATAATTGCAGTATAGGAGTTAAAAATTCACTTTAATCTGTCCCGTCCCCCCACAGTAAGCTCCTGTTTTTATAAAATTGGTAAAAAGTACATAACAAAAAAACTAACCATTTTAAATGTACAGTTGCTTTAATTACAGTAAGTATATGAATTGTTGTGCAACCATCTTTTACTTATTTGTATATACCCAGATGTAGAATTGTTGGATCATATAGTAACTCTGTTACATTTTTTGAGGAATTGCCACACTGTTTTCTATAGTCGTACTATTTTATATTCTATTAGTAATTCATCTGTTCTCTTACCTGAAATATATAGCTGCTTGTATAGTTTGTAGATTTCTATTTTTATTTTGGGGGGAGGGGAATTTCTGCTAAAACCTGTCATTTTCTGCTTTTCCAGGCTGCAGTGCAAAAAGCAATCCCTATGTACAAAATCGCCACCAATAAAGATGTTGATGTCCAAATTGATCAGGAGGTCTACCTACCTGAGGAAATGTAAGGAGTATTTCTGCTTTTAATATCTGGCTTTCATTTGCTAGGAGAATGGCTTTTATGCTAGGCCTGTTGTAAAGGGAGTTTTTGCCAAAACACTCTTTGCCGTAAGGATAAAAGTGTGGCTGTCTTTTCCTATTAGTACTCTGCTGTGGTTCTTCCCAGGTAGACATTAGCCAGGTAGACAGTGACTGGGTGGGAAGATGAAGAAAGAAAATAATAATAAGGTCATGGTCCATTAAAATTTACGAAAGAAACTTTGCAAAACCTTACCCACTCTTTGTGTCATAGCCTGCTTATTTAATATTTTTTTTATAAAAGTAAAATTTTGGTGTAGCAAAAGAATTTCATTCTCTGAGGCTCTGTGTAATAAAATTTGACCCTTTTTTCCCTTTGCCTATTAAGTGCTGAGAAACTGAGGAATGGAATGATAAAAGTGAGGTGTGGCTAGAGGTGGGACTTTCTAAGAAGGAGTTGGTACAAGGTTAACAATGGTATCTTTTATCTGACACACAGACACAGCGTTGCCTTATCAACACCCCTGGTAATTAGCAGGATGGGGCCTCCAGGAAATATGCATATAAGGATTCATTATCTGTTAATTTGTAAACTAGGACTAAATCCTCCTCCTCCTGATTTGCTGGGTTTTAGAATTAAATTCGGTGCTATTTAAGAAAATCAAATTGGCACATAGCAGTCACTTGGTAAATGACATTTATCAACATCCATATCTTAAATCCTAAGAAGCTTTTTAAATTTATTTCAAGCTTATCACTTAGGTTTATTGGCTCCTTACAATATTTATTTATTTATTTATTTATTTATTTATTTATTTATTTATTTATTTATTTATTTATTTATTTATTTAAAATACTTGAGGCCTGGTGAATGAATTTGTGCACCAGTGGAGAGTCCCTTGGCCTGGCCTGTGTCCTCTCGCAATCTGAGACCTTTCAAGGGAGGTTGGATAGCTGGTTTTGGCCCAATCCCCACAGGCCTGATCCAGACAGGAGGGAGCCTGATAATGTGCGTTGAGCATCTGTCCTGTGGTGTTCAGTGCTTGTCATAGCAACCGGTCAACCAGTCATTCGGTTGCTTCAGCTTTATATAGTTATTTTTATTGATTTCAGAGAGGGAGAGAGACAGAGACAGAGACATCAGTGATAAGAAAGAATCATGATTGTTTGCCTCCTGCATGACCACATTGGAGATCAAGCACAGAACCTGAGCATGTTCCCCAACCAGAAATCAAACCCTGACCTTCTGGTTCATAATGGTCAACCACTGAGCCATACCAGCCTGGCACGTTGTAGTATTTAGACACTCCATACCCCAAAACTTTTCTATCTTCCTCAAATGGATAAAAATTATTTCCCCTGTTCTTTGTAGAGCTGGTGGAGTTGAGATCTATAATGGGGATCGTAAAATAAAAGTTTCCAATACCCTAGAAAGCCGACTGGATCTCATAGCTCAGCAGGTGAGTGTGGGAATACTTCTGTTAGTTGGTCTGTTTCTTTGAAGTGATACAGAGAACACATCCATTCACTGGTATTTGGGATTTGTTACTCTATTCTTATTTTTTTACATTTTCTTAAAAGGTATGGGATAAAGCATTTAGTGGCATTTACTGAGTCAGTACCATTTATCTGAGGAAGGATTTGGTGTTAGAAAAAGGGTTTTGTTTATGTAAGAGTAATAATGTATATACATAATAATAATAATAATAATAATAATAATAATATACATTTACTGCAAGTAGAGATGTTGACCAGTTGTTTCTCTAGCAAGAATTATGGCAACTAAAGTAAATATTTGTTTAAAGAAATTGCTATGGGGCTATTGGGTCTTCAAGTATTCCCATGTTTGCACAAATAAATTTTTTGCAGATAAGGTGGGAAGTTGTTTTTCTTTTTAAAAAATACATTTTATTGATTTTTTACAAGAGAGGAAGGGAGATAGAGACTTAGAAACATAGATGAGAGAAAAACTTCGATCATCTGCCTCCTGCATATCCCCTACTGGGGATGTGCCCGCAACCAAGATACATGCTTTGACCAGAATCGAACCTGGGACCCCTCAATCTAGGCTGACGTTCTATCCACCGCTCTATCCACCGAGCAAACCTGCTACGGCAAGGCAGGAAATTTCAATTATTTCAATGTGCTGAGCATCTTCCAGTAGTGGTAGTCTATTGCTAACCTGTCTTATAGCTAAGCACTTTGATATTGAGTATGTCATCTTCTTTCATTTAAACCATACAGCTTTGTTACCGAATAGAGTAGCCACTCAGTACAAATGGATATTTAAGTAAAATTAAAAATTCAGTTCCTTATATGCACTAGCCACATTTCAAATGCACAGTAACCACATGTGGCTAGGGCTACTCTGTTCAACACACAGCCTTAGAAGTTTGAGGTTAAATCCTAAGGATTTTCAGTTGCAATAGCAAGTACCTCATCACAGCTTGCATTGTATCTTTTCTGCTTGATACATATACATTCAATAAATATTTTTTGAAATAAAAAATGTAGGTGATACAGAATATTATGATGATATGCAACTGTTAATAGGCTCTTCTTCCATCACAACATAACAGAAGCCTTAGACAGTAATGCCTTTAGTTTTTTGTTTTGTTTTTAATGTTTTTATTGATTTTAGAGAGAGAGAAGCATCAATCAGTAGCCTCCTGCACTCACCCTAACCAAGGATTGAACCCACAACCTGGATATGTGCTGTAACCAGGAATTGAACTTTCTACTTTTGGTGCACATGATGCTCAACCAATTGAGTGACACTAGCCAGGCCACATTTAGTTTTTTAGGCTTTTTCCTCTTCTTTGTCTCCTTTAAAGCAGTTAGGCTTAACCCAAAATTTTTTATTGGTTAAATTTCTCACTGAGGATTCTGTGATAGTGCTTTGGATAAGTAAAGGACAGATTTGATGCTTTTAGCTTTGTGATTTCCTTCCCAGCTATTTAGAGTTTCATGACTTGCCATCTGTGTTAATGATGATGGTAGGAGATTTTATTTTGGGTGGTGAACACACAGTACAGTATTCAGATAATATATCATAGAGCCGAAACCGGTTTGGCTCAATGGATAGAGCATAGGCTTGGGGACTGAAGGGACCCAGGTTCGATTCCGGTCAAGGGCATGTACCTTGGTTGCGGGCATATCTCCAGTAGGGGGTGTGCAAGAGGCAGCTGATCGATGATTCTCATCGATGTTTCTAACTCTCTATCTCTCTCCCTTCCTCTCTGTACAAAATCAATAAAATATATTTAAAAAAGAAAAAAAAAAGATAATATATCATAGAATTGTGTACTTAAAACCTATATAATTTTATTAACCAATGGCACCTCAATAAGTTCATTAAAAAAAATTTTTTTTAATTTAAAAAGATGTACAAAAAAAGAAAAGAAAAGAATCTACATACTATCCAGATTATAAGGTAGCACTATGTATCAACAATTGTTTTAAAATATATCACACGGAAGTTGAGTTTTGAATTTTTACACCCATATTTTAATTTTTTAAACTCAATATTTCTATTTTAAAAAAAATAAAAAAAATAAAATAAAATAAAATAAAAAAAAAATAAAAAAAAATAATAAAAAAAAAAAAGATGTACAGTTCTTCCCAAGTTCTCCAATTGACAACACTTATTTATTAAAGATCTCATTTCTTTACAGATGATGCCAGAAGTACGAGGAGCCTTGTTTGGTGCAAATGCCAACAGGAAGTTTTTGGACTAAGCCTTTGGGAAATGGAATTCCTGCACTGTAATGATGTAAAAGTTTCTGATATCTGAACAAACAAGATGATCTATGTAGCTTTTTCTTTGCTATTCTAATACACTATATTTACTCATGGATATCCTTCTATACTATATGCCCTTAGCCTAATTGTTAACAATGGGAGAAAATTTCATTTAATATGATCAGGAAGCCTACCTCTAGCTTATCTAAAAGTAACACAACTTTCAGTTGGTTCTGCAGCATGAAGGTGAAGAAATCAGGTGGTGGTTGCATGGACTGAACCCAAACTTGTGTTCTTCCTCTGCTTCTAGTTTCTAGTTTATAAGTTATGTGTATGGTGTGCTCTGCTGGTAACTCTCTGCTCTTTAAGCTTAGAGGGGCATGCATTCCTTCCAGCAGTCGTAGCTTCACTGTTACCTGTTTGGGCTTTGAAATTCTTCTTATCTGTAAATGTGATTTCAAATCTAAGCCATGATGCTTTATTAATTAAAACAAAAAATGTAAGTGAATTTAATTGTAATTTATTCTGCAAGATACTCAAAGTGTGCAGTTTCAAAGTGTAATTATCTAAAAAAGACACCATTGTCCAAATTTCAGTAGTATATGCTGGTTGACAGCTGTCATTACTTGAATCCATTAACCCTCCCTGGGTCCTCTGGCACTTTCTGCTCATTTTTACTAGATCCTTACTCAGAAGTGTTCCTGTTATGTTCCATTCAGCCCCTTACAGTCTTTCACACTTACACATAAGGTTGTTTAGTATTATCTGTCCTCTAGAGGGCTTAACAGCTTAATTGAGGAAATAGTTTTTATTAGCTTTGGCAATGTCAAAAAGCAACTAAAGTGTGTGTGTGTGTGTGGGGGGGGGGGGGTTTTGCAGGGTGAGGGGGAGCATTTAACTGTGTGTTAGGCCTAAACAAACACTTTTCTTTCTCCCACTCATTTTCATGCCAGTTTTGAAATGGACACAGAAAGGTAGAACAAACTATTCATTGAAGCCTATCTGCTTCCTTTGCTAATTATAAGATGAGATTATAACTAGTTCAACTTTATTTCAGTGTTCCATGGACATCATCCTATCTAATAAAAGGAAAACATGCAAATTGACCATACCTCTGCTATGCTCACAAGCCACCCCACCAGCCAATCAGGAGCAAATAATGCAAATTAACCCAGCAAATATGGTGGCAGCCACGGAGCAAGCAGGAGGCTTGGGTTGCACCCAGCAATGAAGGAAGCCAAGCTTTCTACCTGCCATGGCCAGCCCTGGCTACCACTCAAGGCTACAAAGTTTCAATTATAGAAAATAAATAAATCCCAGATACCAGAGCCTCCACTTGGGTCACAGGGGGGCATGACCAGCCTGCAAACCACCATAGGCCCATCACCCAGGTTGCCCCACACCCCAAGGGAACCCCGCCCTAATCCAGGGCACCCTTCAGAGCAAACAAGCTGGCCCCCATCCATGTACCAGACCTCTGTCCTATCTAATAAAAGATGCAAATTGATCATCACTCCAACACAAGATGGCCAGCATAGAGGGCAACTGGAAGAAGCCAGGCCTGGAGGGGAGGGCAGTTATGGGTGACCAGGCCTGCAGGGAAGGGCAGTTAGGGGTGACCAGGCCTGCAGGGGAGGGCAGTTAGGAGCGATCAGGCTGGCAGGGGAATGGTTAGGGGGTGACCTAACCACTCCCAGGTGAGCAATTGGGAGCCAGCAGTCCTGGATTATGAGAGGGATGTCCCAGATCGGAGAGTGTGCAAGCTGAGCTGAGGGGACACACACCCCCATACATAAATTTTGTGCACCAGGCCTCTAGTATATATAATAAAAGCCTAATAATGCTATGTGTCCCATTGACTGGTTGTTCAACCAATCAAAGCATAATATGCTAATATGCTGTGGCCACTCAAATCACTCACTATGATGTGCACTGACCACCAGAAGGAAGACAGTTGACCAGTCGCTATGGCATGCACTGATCACCAGGGGCAGATGCTCAGACCTGTAGGTTAGCCTCCTGATGTGGTCTGGATGGTCAGGACGAACCAGACGTTCCTGGAGCCCTGTCGGGGTCCTTCCTAGGCTGATCAACCTCCCACATCCCTCTCTAGCCCAGATTGTGCACTGCTGGGGTCCCTTGGCCTGGCTTGCACCCTCTCACAATCCGGGATCTCTTGGGGGATGTCGAGAGCCAGCTTTAGCCTGATTTCGTAAGCCAGATGGAGGGCCCCCACTGGTGCATGAATTTGTGCACCGGGCCTCAGGTCTTTAAGAGCCTGCTTTTCAGAGAGATAGGGCAGGATGGCTGCCCTGATTTTGCCCTGGCTTCTTGGTTTCAGTTGGCCTTATCCCTCAGCCATACATAATTTTAAAGTATTTGGTTGGTTTTAAACTAAGTGCTGACTTTGAGGACTTACATGGTCCCCTTGAACTTTTGATTCTTTTTTCCCAAAATGAGTGCTAGGACTAACCATAAGTTATTTAGCTCAGAATAACAAGTCTAAATCCTCCAAATGACTCAAGTATACTGAGCTTGAAGTGTGAAATAGAAATGTAAAATGTAGAAACAACTCTTCTGTCTTTATTGTCTGTTAAGGTCTACAGTTAGTACAAACAAAGTATGTACTACTTTTGTTGAAAGATAGATGGTTAGGGGCTTCTGAGGCAGAATAGAGCTGTAGCCAGCTTGCTTATTAGAATAAGGTTGTTTCTTCTGAGACGAAGGTGGCACTGCAAATTAGAGGGCAAATTACATGGTGGGTAGGGAGATGGAAGCCAGTGAAGGGATCTGAGTTCCAGCTATATTTATTCAAAACACTTTAAGATCTTTTCTCCAATACCAATGAAGTAGACACCTTGGGCAATCCCAAAGAGAGGAGCTATGACAAGGGCCCGGCAGCCTGCTCCTTTCATGAAGGCAGATGGTCCCTCCTGAATCCAGAGTTTCCTGGGGAGAAAGAAGAGCTCTGTGAGCTGAATGAGAAGCACACCAAGCAGTGCTCAGTGACACCCTCTCCTCCAACGTTTGTATTTTCTTTGAAGGCAGGTGTCACTTTCTACAGGACTGTGGGAGCCATGCCTCCCCTAATATGTGTATGCAGTTTGGTTACTAAGCATGGAAAATTGGCTCAATTTGCTAGACTTCTGGGAGAAAGATACTGTAGGGATGCAAAGAAAAAAGCTCCAAGTACAGCCTGCTTTTGTTGAGGTAAAGGAAAGCAACAGACTTCAAAGAAATACAGACTTCAAAGTAGATAGTGATAAAATTGTTCTGTAATTTGAGTCTAGGTGCACACCAACACAGAGGGAACTGTCCCAGCCACATCTGTAAAGGGATACAGGGCTCTCACCTGGCACAGTCAGTGATCCCACTGTAGTTGTCCTCAATCAGACCTTTCTTGAGAGTTTGGATTCGAGTTTTCAAAACTAAAACGTAAGTTAAAATTAGTAGGGAACATTTTGCTTTTGATATAGCCAGCATACATAAAACTGGATCCTGAGGTTATCTCTATCATTGTGGGATATGTAATTGAGCTTCCCCTTTTTGGGCCTCATTTATGAATGAAAGAATTTGAAACGGCACGATCCTTTAGTTCACTCATGCTATGGGAAGATCCACCTGTGCTAGAGGAGCTGTCTGTTGTCTAAATATAGCGGAAGCATTGTCTCATAGGGTGCAGCCCCTGCCTTTAGCCTTCAATTTTAAAGAATCAGCGATATTTATAGTTGATGCTCACAACTCTATTGGGGGACAAAAATGAGTGAAATCAGTACCTAGAAAGCAAGGGGATTTGTCAGTGGTAAGAACTAGACCCCACATTCTGTGGGTGGACCTGACAGTGGCCAAGAGTTTTTAGGTTGGGGCTATTTTGTCTTTATTCTATAAGTATTACTACTTATCCTATAAATGACTCTACAGGTAACTAATTTGTGGCACTTACCATCCAGAGGTGTTACTATGACAGCCGCTATGGAACCTGCAACACAGCCTGACATAAAGGAATGAACAAAGGAAGCTTTCCCAGTAAGTTCGTTGAAACCAAGGTTATTGAGGTTGGCAAACAGAGGGAAATAGATGATGGAGAAGGGAATATCTCTGTAGGAGATAAAGAAAAACACTAAGTTTCATGCCCCTCTGGGGCTTCTATCCAAGGTCATACAGTAAGCCCGTGAGCTATAGATAGGTCAGAGACAAGCCTACAATTCCGTATTCCTGCTCTGGCATCCCATGACAATGTGTGGTGAAAGCATCAGCTTGATTTGCCTTCTCCTACCATCCCAATTCTTTCCTCTGTCCTCCCAGCACCTGCAGCTTAATGAGGAACCAGTTACAGATTCAAAGACTGGCGGTATGTTCTATAAAAGTGGGCAGGCAGGCTAAGGGAAGTTACTAAGCTGAGCAAGTGGCTGGAGAAGAGCTATAAGGTAAGTGTTGGCCGAAACCGGTTTGGCTCAGTGGTAGAGCGTCGCTCTGCGGACTGAAAGGTCCTGGGTTCGATTCCGGTCAGAGGCATGTACGTTGGTTGCAGGCACATCCCCAGTTGGGGATGTGCAAGAGGCAGCTGGTCGATTTATCTCTCTCGTCGACATTTCTAGCTCTCTATATCTCTCCCTTCCTCTCTGTAAAAAATCAATAAAATATATTAAAAAAAAAAAAAAAAAAAAAAAAGTAAGTGTTGAAGGGATGGGCAGGAAGGTATAAAGTTCATTTATTGCCCAGAGACTAGAAAATTAACCCCTACCCTGGCCAGCTAGCTCAGTTGGATAGACAATCATCTCAATATGCAAGGCTGCGGGTATTGGTTTTTTAAATAATTTTTATTGATTTCAGAGAGGAAAGAAGAGGGAGAGAAAAACATCAGTGAGAGAGAGAATCATTGATTGTCTGCCTTCTGCACACCATACTGGGGATTGAGCCTGCAACCCAGGCATGTGTCCTGACTAGGAATCAAGACCATCACCTGATTCATAGTCAATGCTCAACCATTGAGCCACACTGGCCAGGCTGCAAGGCACATATAAAAAACAACCAATGAATGTATAAATAACAAATTGATGTTTCTCCCTGCATCTCTAAAATCAATAAATAAAAAATTTTTTTTAAAAAATTGAACTCTCTCTAAAAAAAATATTTTGGCCAAGTAGCACAGTAAAATGAAGGGGTTATATACATTCATTTATTTATAGATGACCCACAGTCCTGTGTATACAGTACATTCTAGATGCCTTTGGGCCATAGAACACCCAATAGGCATGTGGACCTGGCCACTGGAGAAGGGGCCTAAAAATAGTCTTTCAGATATCCAGTCTGTAATCCTGCTCAAGTAAACAAAATATGACGCATAGAGATATTTGAAAACAGGTATGTTGAAGTAGCAATCCCTCTGGCCCTCTGTCCAATCTCCCTATTCCCTTATGGCCCTCTATTTTAAGAAAGTCTTACCTGAGGAGAGTGGCACCCAAACCTTTATAGAGACCACCCAGGCCCTGGGTTCGAAGCAGCTCCCAGGCAATGATGGTGGCAGATGGATGCTTATGTGTGGAAGCTGATCCAATGGTATAGGACCTAGAGGAAGGTGCTGAGGCCGAACCATGATGATGCACTGCTGAAAGGGAAAGGACAGACTTCCCATCACAAACTAGGCCCCAACAGGCACTGTAAAACATTTGCAAGTGTATGGCTCCCTCCTGTGTTTTTAATTTGTCTTTCATTTCTAAATCATCTCTGAACCTGTTTACATAGTTTCATCCTATTGGGTCTTTGGGGTGTAGGAATCCCATATGTCTTCTGCCTGATACAAAGCAGCAAATTCTTTTTGTTTGTTTAAAAATTCTCCAGCCAAAACCGGTTTGGCTCAATGGATAGAGCGTCGGCTTGGGGACTGAAAGGTCCCTGGTTCGATTCCGGTCAAGGGCATGTACCTTGGTTGCGGGCATATCCCCATTTGGGGGGTGCAAGAGGCAACTGATCGATGACTCTCTCTCATCGATGTTTCTAACTATCTCCCTTCCTCTCTGTACAAAATCAATAAAATATATATTTTTTTAAATAATAATAAAATTTAAAAAAAAATTCTCCTTCAACTAAGGTCCATGTGCTCTATGGTTAGAGCATCAGCCTGTGCACCAGAGGGTCAAGGATTTGATTACTGTTCAAGGGCATGTGCCTGCCCCAAATGAGGGAGCATGTAGGAGGCAACCAATCAATGTGATATTTCTGTTTGTCTTCCACCCCCACCCCTCCCTCCACACACACACTCTAAAAATCAATGGTAAAAAATATTCTCACTCCTTGGATGAGGATTTAAAAAACACTATCTCCTTCGGTTGGTTGGAGCGTAATCCCATGCAACAACAGATTGCACCACAGATTCAGTTCCTGGTCAGAGTACATACCCAGGTTGAGGGTTCGATCCCCAGTTGGGGTGCATATGGGAGGCCACCCATTGATATTTCTCTCTTCCTCTCTCTCTGTCTCAAAAATACAACAGGAAAAAAAAAATTCAGACTTCATCAGAGCCTCCTCTCTCTACCATTCTAAGATTAGGTGATCACGTTCTTTATTCCCTTCATCATTTTATAGAATTTGATTCTCAAGATGTCAACCCATTTTAGTTGAAAATAATTCTACTTGTTAGGATTGTAACTAATAATTCTAATAAATAGAATGGAATTCTTTTTTTTTCTTGAACATATTAAATACAAGCATTTCAAATGTGGTTGAGTCCCATTCATGACCATAAGGTTCAATGCACTGAAATTGTGTGAATATTAATTCTCAGTGTTTGAGAAGCTTTGCATAGGTTATAAGTTCTTGCTGGGAAAAAAAGCAATTTAATGTCCCAGTTTTGTTTGATATGCATCAGGGTAGCATTTCATACTAAGAAGCTAATGACAGCATATTGTCTTATGCTAATAATCTAGAGCTGCAGGCCTCAGACAGTTCTAATTAATGAATGTTATTTTCCTTGTATGTCCTTTAGGTGCACATAATTAATTCACCGATAGCCTAACTTTCTCTTCTTTTAAAATGTTTTAGGAATACTAAAACTTCTTATCCAAGTTGAAAAACAAAACATTACAAAGCTTTTCACTCTGCAAAGCAAAACAGTGAGGGTTTCCCAGTGTCTGAACTGTATTTCTGCAGTTTTATTTGCTTTAGGCTGGACTGCTCCACCTGAAAAGCACAGCACATGTACATAGTTGGATTGAGGAGAGAAAGGGAACACACATTTATTGAAGACCTTGCCAGGTGCTCTGTTGGGCACATGACATGTTGGCTTATTAAATTCAGACATTGTGATTTAGTTCTGAGGAGAAACCCTCTGTCCCACCCCACCAGGGTTAATCTCCTTCTATTAGAAGCTGATCATTGCTTTTAATATATGCTTTGGCACCTATTCCACTCTAAATTTTTGAGAGGACCAGGATTAAGCAAAGTGCCAAACTTCTCTTCCAGAGAAAACCAAAAGGATAAAGATGGTTCTTTTTATGCATTTTCACTAAAGCACCATCTATAGCATAATATATTATAATAGAGTTTCTATTTACTGAAGTGTTCATGAGCAAGCCATTGACATTTCTTAAGATACTTAGGAAATCAAGCTTAAATGTTAAGGCAATAAGATAGAGGTAGAAGGGTGAGACTCTCTCCTTCCCAAATCAATATTCTTAGTTCTGATCTTTATTCTAGAGCTGAAAGTGTTAAAATCTAGAATGGTAACCATAAAAGTAAGACCTACTAACCTAGAAATCTGATTGGGTCACACAGATTAGCAAATGAGTGCAGATGTGTAAAAATCTATTCTGATCACAGCCTTTATTGATTCCACGTGAAGTTAGGATAGGGCTCACCCAAGCGTCCAGCGTCCTGCAGCTGAATCTTGAGCATTTCCATGGGACAGGTAACCACCACCTGGCACATTCCAGCTCCACATCCAGCTAGCATCTCCATTTTCAGATTCCGCTGCATCCTATGAGACCAGGAGTTGGCATCCTTCAGTCACAGGCCAGCCCTCTTATCCCACCCTAGCCATCTATTCCCCCTTGGTGGTTGGAACTTTCCATGTATGGTATTTAGCCTTGTTCCCATTAACTGCCACTTACCCAACTGAGTAAACAATTACCTGGCCATCAGGCTCAGTCTCCTTAAAGATATGACACTAATTTTAAAACAGACTGCCAGAGAGGTAGCACCTGCATAGAAGTTGAAACTAGTACAGTGAAAATGCCCATTGCAGGAACTTGATTGTTCCTGATCCCTTAAGCAATATTAATAAGGTGATGGGAGGCACAAGGAGAACTTAAAAATCATTAGCATAGCCCTGGTAGTTCAGTTGGTTAGAGTGTTTTCCCCATACACCAGGTTGTAGGTTTGAACCCCAGTCAGGACACATATAAGAATCAACGAATGAATGGATAAATAAGTGGAACAACAAATCAATGAGTTCTTTCCCTCTCCCCCTTTCTCTAAAAATAATTTTTAAGAAAAATTTATAAGCATAAAAAACACTCATAATCAATGGAACAGAACAGCAAGCCCAGAATTAAGAGCCCCTGCATATACACTCAACTAACAAGGGAGCCAAGAACATTCAATAGAGAAAAGATAGACTCTTCAATAAATGGTGCTTGGAGAGCTGGATATTCACATGTAAAAGAATGAGACAAGCCCTGTCTTACAAAACAAAATTTGATTTGAAATGGATTAAAGACTTAAATTTAAGATCTGAAATCATAAAACTAGAAGGAAAGAGGGAAAAAGCTCCTTGATATAGATCAACCTAAAGCATAAGCAACAAAAGCAAAAATTAATTAATGGGACAATATCAAACTAAAATGTTACACAGCAAAGGAAATAGCAACAACATGAAAAACCAATCTATAGAATGGTAATAAATATTTGCTAATCATATATCTGATGGGTTAATATTCAAAATATTTAAAGAACTTATACAGGAGAGTAATGAAGATGGCGGCGAAGGTAAACACTCCTAAACAGCTGCCGGGCACAAGTCAAAAAAAACCTATAAAATGTCCATCTCCCAAAAACCAAATGAGAGCTGACTGAGAGGAAGCCCTACATCTAGACTGAAAGAGAAAGAGGAGAATCCAGAGCACAAGAGCTGAAAAACTGAAGTAAGGGGACGAGGACGCGATAAGGGCTGGCGGTGGATCCAGGCTGGTGAAGGGTGGTGCTTTCTTCAATCCGAAAAAAGACAATCTCCCAATCTCTCTGAAATCCAGTTTCTGGGGAGAGGCTAGACTGTCTGCCATCGGGTCAAAAAGTGAGGCTGGCTTGCTTGCAGAGCTGAGATTGTTTGCTGTGCTGGTGCGAGACACGGGGAGACGCGGGGATGCCATCAGGCGGCGGGTGGCAGCCATTGCTGTTGGCCATGCCCCAGCCTAGCGATACCCTGAAACTACGCCCTGAGACCCCACCCATCACAACACATCCAAGCTCCAAGCAGTGGACTTTGCATATGAATGGCCCTCTCTGTTGCAGTTTAGCAAATTTGCAACAGGGGGCAAACAGATCCAAGGAGGATAGGACTGTGGTTTGCACTGTAGCTCCTGCAGGGTGGCCTCAGACAGTAGCTGAGCTACACCCCATTGGAGACTCAGAAGCAGTGTTTCAGTGCTCAGTTTCAACCCCTCACACCCATAAGTGACACATTCAGGAGACGAACTCAGTGAGTACCAAAGCCGCACTGAAACAAGGCGTGTCTCCAGCACAGCAGTTCTTCCTTTATAGACACAGCAGATCCTCACAGACAATTGGCCTGGAGGTCAATTCCTTCCAGTGTACCAATAGCAATCAAGGCTTAATTACACCAAGACTTTGCACTCAGCCCACAAAGGGATATACCAAAAGCAACCACCTCAGGTGATTGGAGAAGCTGAGCTACTGACCCCTATAAGTCACTGACCACACAAAGTCACTCCATCAACACAGGGAGGCAGCCAAAATGAGGAGACACAGAAGCATGACACAAATGGGAGAGATGGAGGAGAGTAAACTATTAGACAACACAGAGTTCAGAATCACATTTATAAGATTACTCAAGAATCTTCTAAAAACCTTTGAGAAACTTGATGAGACCTCCAAGAAGCTTGTTGAGACCTTCAAAGACCTTAATGAGAATACCAAAAAAAAAAAAAAAAGGAAAAGGACCAGCCAGAAATGAAGCATACACAGTCTGAAATAAAGAATATACAGAAACTCAGCTATAGATCAACATGCCCCAAGAATCAAACCAAAGATCTAGAATATAAGAAAGCAAAAATCACTCAACCAGAGAGGCAAGAAGAAAGAAGAATCCAAAAGGGTAAGGATAGTGTAAGGAGCCTCCAGGACGGCTTAAAGCGTACCGACATCTGGATTTTTGGGGTGCCAGAGGAGAGCGAGCAGAATATTGAAGGCTTAATGGAAGAAATAATGACAGAAAACTTTCCCCACCTGGTGAAAGAAATAGACCTACAAGCCCAGGAAGCTCACAGGACCCCAAACAGGAGGAATCCAAAGAGGACCACACCAAGACACATCATAATTAAAATGCCAAGAGCAAAACATAAAGAGAAAATCTTACAAGCAGCAAGAGAAAAACAACTAGTTACCTACAAGGGAGCACCCATATGACTGTCAGCTGATTTCTTAACAGAAACTATGTAGGCCAGAAGGGAGTGGCAAGAAATATTCAAAATGACGAACAAGAACCTACAACCAAGATTACCCAGCAAAGCTATCATTCAGAATTGAAGGTCAGATAAAAAGCTTCACAGACAAGAAAAAGTTAAAGGAGTTCATCAACACCAAACCAGGATTACATGAAATGTTGAAAGGTATTCTTTAAGAAGAGGAAGAAGAAGAAAAAGGTAAAAGTAAAGGTAAAAAATTATAAACAACAAAAAGGCATCAAATACATACCTACCGTGTTTCCCCGAAAATAAGACATCCTCTGAAAATAAGATATACCTCATGGAAAGATAAGACATCCCCTGAAAATAAGACTTAGTGCAACTTTGGGAGAAAAAATTAATATAAGACACTGTCTTATTTTCGGGGAAACAGCACCAACAAGCGAATCTAAAAATCAAGAGGATTTAAAAAAAAATTGGAAGAACAAAATGGACTGGTGAATATAATAGAATCAGGGACATAGAAAGGGATTGGACTAACAATTCACAGGGGGAAAGGAGTCTGAGGGTGCAGGAAGAGATTGGACAAAAATCTTACACCTATGGATGAAGACAGTGGCGGGGGTAAGGAATCAGGTGGAGGAGAGCTAAGGGAGGCGGGGGGGGGGGGGGGGGAGAGGAACACCTGTAATAATCTGAACAATAAAGATTTATTTTAAAAAATAAATAAAATAAAATAAAAAAGAATTTATACAACTCAATAATTTAAAAAATAATCCAATAAGAAATGGATAGACATTTTCCCAAATAATATATTTAAGTGGCCAGCAGGTACATGAAAAGATGTTCAACATCGCTAATCAGCAGAAAAATGTAAATCAAAGCCATAATGACATCACCTCACACCTGTTAGAATGTCATAACAAAGATGAGATGATAAATGTTGGCAAGATGTGGAAAAAAAGAAACCCTGTGCACTCAGTATTGATGGGATTGCCTGGTGCAGCCATTATGGAAAATAGTATGGAGTTTCCTCAAAAAATTAAAAATAGAATTACCATATGATTCAGCAATCCCATTTTTAGGTATATATCCAAAAAGGACAAATCACTGTTAAGACCTCTGTTCCCTCATGTTCATTGCAGCATTATTACAAAACTTGAAAACAAACTCATAGCAAAAGAGATCAGTTTTAGTTATGGAAGTGAGGAAAAAGGAATTGAATGAAGGTGCTCAAAAGGCACAAACTTTCAGTTATAATAAGTACTGGGAATGTAATGTACAACATGATGACTATAGTTAAACACTGCTCTATGGTTGCTTAAAGTTCTCATCATGAGAGGGGAAATTTTGTAACTTTATGATGGGCTAGATATTAACATTGCAGTAATCACTTCATAATATATGTGTGTCAAGTCATTATGCTGTACATTTTAAACTTATACAGTGTTGTATGCCAATTATATCTCAAAACTGCAAAAATATTCATCAGCTAGTTGATGTATATATTTTCTATATGGTATATCAATTATCTATCTATCTGGAACTTCCAAAGTATATCAGCTCATTTTCTCCCTTTTCATCTGCTAAAACATACTACCCTCAGCCACTTGTATATACATATTTATAAAAATGCACACAAGTAAACTGAGGCAGAGTTGCAATCCTCTACCTGCTATCTTCCAAAAAAAGTAGAAATGCACTGAAGGATTTCCATCCCCAGCCCCCACCTGGCCGTACCCATCTTCCATGAGCAACTGTCGGAAAAAGTCATTGGCTGCCAGCTTAATGGCCTTCTCTGGAGTGACCAAGGTGAGGTTCACTGCAGCTCCTGGAAGTAAACAACAAAGCTGAAGAGGTAAGGCCATCTCTGAGGTGTCAGTGCCAGGAACATGCCACTCATGTAGATAACCTCCTCTCAGAAGTTGTTTCTGAAGTAAACAGGGTCTCTGGGGTCAAGGAGGGTTTGTCTGCTTCTTATTGAAATTTCCTTTCCTCTCCCTGCTTCCACTATCCTCCCACCACATTTTCCTTTTTCAGTGTATTTACTTCCTTTATGAACTCATTGGAGCAGTTATTAGGAAATCTGTCCTTGCTAATGTTGCCTGTCTCTGATGCTAAATAAACAATTCCCCAAGTTAATCCCCAATAAAAAGGCCCTGGGGACAGGGATTGGTTTTAATTTCTGTGCTGTGTTTGCCACTGGCATCTCTGTGGGTCATAGAGACTTTTTTTTTACTTTGTTCCTAAGGGGACTATCATATCACTTCCTTCTCAACCCCAGTTTTGTATCCATTTTCCAAGGCATAACCATAGTTGTGCCATCTTGGATAGGGACACTGCAGGATAAACAGGGACAGCACTGGCCATGTCAAGAAAGAGCCATTCAGTAACTCCTTTCCAGGAGCTCAAAACCCTTTCCATTCTCTGTCCTTGTCAACCTTTACCTCTTTTGCTATTGGTGGTTGGATGCCTTGACAGCCTGAGAAAGGGGTTGGGGGGAGAATGGGTGTTTGGGGGTTCACTTGCCTCCAACATCACACAGTGAGGCAGTAATTGTGCCAGGATGGAACCTAGGGCTCCTGGGCTCTTCAGTGTATTCACTGGCATACCCCTAACCTCACTGTAACTACTGTGTTTACCAAGACACATGTGGTCGAAAAGCACCTGGTAGCCCAGGCCCATCCTAGGAGTTCCCAGGGCAGAAAAAATGCTGCTTTCCAATGTCTTATAAATTCACAAAAATCTACTTCCCCTGTGCCATACCCTCTGTCCTCACTTGGCCTCACAAGCCAGGCCTCCCCCAGGACACCTAATGAATGAGCCTACCTCGGTACATGCCCAGAAAGCCCTCTATCCTCGCCGTCTTCATCAGGCAATCTATCCTAGAAGCAGAGGCCAGAAAGGGAAATTAGTAGTGAACAGGAGGCTGTACCACAACCCCCTTGCCTTCACCCAATGCTCTAATCCTGTTGGGCTCACCCCAGTTGACCACCTCCACCTCCTTCCCTCACACCCTAATCTTACTCCCTACATCCCTCCTCTGGGAGCTCCCTCTTCTTACCCCCTTCTTCACAAATACCTACATTCCTTTGTAGATATCTTTTCCATGCTGGTTCTGAAGTCGAGTCTTGGCCAAGTCAATGGGGAACACACAGGTCACCCCCAGGAACCCTGCCATGCCTCCATTGATGACTTTTGCTGTGACACTGGGCCATGGGAAGGAGGGAGGCACAGAGTGAGTGAGGGAAACTCAGGCATAGGAGCATGGATGGAGGCTGGCTCAGAGAGCTACCCATAGCCAGGACTGTATGGGGAAATGGAGGGAGACCAGCAGGAAAGCAGAAACAGCAGAGCAAGCATAGGAATGGCAGCTCCATTGACTTCAGCCCCACAGGCATCCATGGATCCCTCTCCTCAGCCTACTGCCCCTACTCCAGCAACCCTTCTGGTCAACTTGTCATGCCTCCCTCACCTAGTCCTGTTCCAGACACAAGTTAGACACACTTCCTTCAGGAGCACTACCCTCACCTGGGCTGAAGCATCTTGCCCTAACCCCACAGGGAAATGTTCATAAAGCTAGGACACTGCCAAGGTTCTGGGAAGGATGCCAGAGTACCAACTCTGCCCCCTGGGGTCCCACTAGGGTGCTCAGAATATCCCCTTCAGAGTTCCACCCAAGGTTCTCTGGCTTATCCACATCCATAGGGCCACATGTGGACACATTTTCAAACACACTAAACTTTTATTTCAGACTTAAGGTCATCAGAACTGATTCTGAATCCTGGTTATTCTGTTAGTTAAGCAAATTATCTCACTTCACTGATTCTTTGTTTTCCCCTCTGTACAACTGGCTCATGCATTTGGTAAATGATAGCTATTATTAATAAGAGAATACACTTTTCTGACATAAGAGTTTCTAGTCAGCATGATATAACCCGGGTTAATTTATATTATCTAGCCAAAAGTAAAGAAAAGTCTCTTTCATTTTTTTTTAAGTCTGAAAATAGAAAATGGATCCTAGTAACATTTTCTTATCTTTCTGGCCAGAGGCAGATGTGAGCAAAATATTTTTTAATATATTTTATTGATTTTTTACAGAGAGGAAGAGAGAGGGATAGAGAGCTAGAAACATTGATGAGAGAGAAACATCAATCAGTTGCCTCTTGCACATCCCCTATTGGGTATGTGCCTGCAACCAAGGTACATGCCCTTGACTGGGATTGAACCTGGGACCCTTTAGTCTCCAGGCCGATGCTCTATTCACTGAGCATGAGTAAAATATTTGTAGGTAGATTACCTGGAAGTGGTAAGAGCAGATAATAGATTTAAATTTTGCAGGCTGGAGAGATGCAGTCCAAATAATTACGAATTATATTTAAGTATATTTATCTATAAATAAGTAATTTTTTTGTATATAGGAAATCAGGTCCCTTTTGCTGCTCCCCAGGACTCAGCTAATACTTTAGAAATATGGAAGGGAAGCTTAGTGATGTGTTATCCCCACAGCAGCTCTTTCCCTAATCTCAGCCCAGAGATGAGGGCTATATTAGCCAGATTTTACCTCAAATCCTGCTTGGACATTCTTCAGGGGGCTGAAGACTCTGGTGGGTCCTGGAACAGAGGCTGCTTGTTCACTCCTCAGGGCAGATGGTTGGCTGATGTGGAAGAAGTGGTGTCCGGATCCTTGTCTCTAACTCACCTTAGCAAAGTGGGGTGTTGGTGGAGAGTGCTGGAGCCACCGTTCCAGCAAGTCACAAGCTCATCGGGTTCAGCTGCCTCCTCTATAAAGTGATCAGACTGGCACTCACCTCATGGTTTGAGAGCCACATCTGTGGTAGGACAGAACATTATTCTTGCATTAATACTGTCAAGTTGATTACCTCCTAAACCTTTTGAACTTTGGGGATTGAGATCAGAAGATGATGAGAGGGAAGAATAATGGGCCCAAACCAAGGCTGGGAAGGAGTTCTGGGAGCGTTTAGGAGAGCGGCATGGATCAATGATGAGGGAAACTGATGGGATCTGAAATAGGCATTTTAAAGAGAGTTGCTGTGGTTTCAGAATACCTCTCATAGTGTTCAAAAACTACAATAAAATACTTGAGATAAAAAAACATAAATGATAACCCCAAAACACTTGAAATATTGTGAAGTTACACTTTGGCTCTTAAAATGTGTTTTCTGAACTTTCTGTGACCCCATTGAAAGACTGAGCTGCATTAAGATTATGGATTTGTACTTGATGCACATGGAAAGCACCAGGGACAGTGCCAGGAAATCAAAACTACAGTTATAATAGTTGTTATAGCTCCTGAGGAGAGGTCCTGGTTCAAGCCAGAGAGACAGGGGATCACTGAATCCTGATGTTCTGGTGGAGGCTGGCTTGTGTTCTGAGCAGTCTCTTCTCTCCAGGCTCCCTTCAAACTATGTAAACACTCCTTCCTCTTCCATGCTCCCTATTCTTCCCTAGTCTATCAGAAATTCTCTGCCCTCTCCAGGTATTTTGTTTTGAGGAAGAAAAGACAGATCAATTTTCCCCTGTTGTATATTGATCTAGTCAGAAAAAAATTCCAGGTTTGGGTATGCAGTAGTGAACAAAAGACTAAAATCATTGTTTTTAGGGATTTAAATTTTTGTTGGTAATCCTCACTACAGGATATTTTTTTTTTCATTGCTTTTCAGAGAGTGGAAGGGAGAGAAAGAGAGAAACATTGATGTGAGAGACAACATCAATTGATTGCCTCCCAAATGTACTCCAACTAGGGTGTGAGGAGTGAACCTACAATTCTGGAATGTGCATGGCCTTGTCAGGGAATTGAACTCATGACCCTTGGGTGTGTAGGCAGACACTTTAACCACTGAGCAATACCGACCAGGGCAGGGACTTAAATTTTAAAAGCAAAGACAGAGAATAAATGAAATAAATAAATCCTAAGGATGCCAGATAGTGATAAATACACAAGAAAAAAAAATCAGGAGGAAAGGAAGCTAGGAAATGTCAATGGAGTGGGGATGATGGTGGATTGACCAAGAAAGAATTCAGTGAGGTGACTTGAGAATCCAAAAGGAGTAAAGGAGTAAGGGTCTAAGAGATCATTCAAGGCAAAGCAAAGGCCCAGAGAGCAGTGAGACTAGTGAACTGGAGGAATAACAGTGGCCAGTGAAGAGTGAACATGGATGAATGTGGAGACAGTCATAGATATAATGGGGTGAAGGCAAGGCCTCATAAGATCTTTGGCTTTTATTCTGAATAAAAAGAGAAACAATTGGAGAGTTGTCAGTATAGAAGTGACATGCTCTAGACAGGACTATTTGGCTGCTGTGTTACGAATAGACAGCAACCAGGCCCGGAGCAGCCAGGCCCGGAGCAGCCAGGCCCAGAGCAGCCAGGCCCAGAGCAGCAGCAGCCAGGCCCCGACCAGCAGCAACCAGGCCCAGAACAGCAGCAGCCAGGCCTGGAGCAGCATTCAGGCACAGAGCAGCCAGGCCCGGAGTGTTGTACGTCGAACCCTGGGTTTAAAATGAAAGGAAAGAAAAAGCAATGCAGCCAATTCGGGTGCCAGAGTGTTATGTCCGTCATCACAATGGACTCAGAGAAGCTCCTGTGTCCCTTCACCCAAAGGGACTGAGAGTTCTCAGACGACAGAAAAGTGGGAGAAGAAAACTGAAGGCTATGCAAGGGACTGAGGTGCCAACATGGAGTCATCTGAAGAAATTAAAGGCTGAAGTGGAAGCTACTTCTTTAATCATGTTCCTGCTCATGCTAGCATCTGTTAGCTTCCAGTCTTCTGCAAAGTCTTATGCAGCAAGTCCAAGGACACTGAGTAAATCTACACCAGCAACAAGAGAGATTCATTTAGTAACTAAAAATATTAATATGTTCATAATTCTGATTTCTCATTTTGTTGTTTTGCATTGGCATTGTTGTTACTTAATAGCCAGAGTTTTGCTCTTGAAATTCAAGTTTTGCAAATAACATGTATGTAATTTAGTTTTTGCATTGGCATTGTTTGCAATTGTTTTTAATTTTAGAGCCCCATTAATGTTTAAATTTTATTTTAATTAGTAAAAAAGGGTATGATGTAGGGAGCTGCCTGAGAAGGCATATGGACATTCTTTTAATTCTTATCAGCTGAGCCTGAGGGCACTGGCAGAATCAGTGCTGATTTCTTAATCCATGTGCTTGGAATGAGGAACAAATAGGACCTTGACTCACCCAGGTCTCGATATGCTAAATCTTGTACCAAAAAAATAAGAAGCTTACCCAGATTTTGATGAATAGGATCTGGGCACACCCGAAATTCCTTTTGACTTTAAACTCCCCTTTGGAAGCCAATAAAAAAAATAAAAAAAAAAATAAAAATTAAAAAAACCAAGGAAATTAAAAAACCTGATGAACAATATTAACTATTGAATATAATAGAATCAGAGATATGGAAGGGGAATGGACTGATGATTTTTAGGGAAAAGAGGAGTGGGAGGTGCGGGGAAAAGACTGAACATAAACTGTGCACCTATGGATGAGGACAATGGGGAGTGGGGAAAGGACAGAGGGTGGGGTAGGAACCTGGTGGAGGGGGGAAAAATGAGGAACTTTTGTAATAATATGAACAATAAAGGTTTATTTATTTTTTTTAAAAAAGCAAAAAGAAAAAGAAAAAAGGAATAGACAGCAGAGGATCAAAGACAAAGGTAGAAAAACCAATTAAATTATTGCAGTATTCTAGGCAAGAGGTGATTGGTTGCTTGTTGGCAGTGTGGTAAGGGTGGTGGTGAGAAGTAGTCTAATTATGAATATATATTGAAAGTTGATGATTCAGCTGTAAGAGAGAAAATGAGTAGTTAAGGGGCCACCAAAGTTTTGAGTAAGAATTTGAAGAATGGGCTTATAACATGGTGTTTTTCACTAGAACATGCAAAGCTTGGATCTGTTGGAAAAAGAAGCAAAAAAGTGAAGCAAGCACATATGCAGGAGAAACAAAAGATGGAAATATTACTAATGTTTAAATCCCTCTTCCAGCTTGTTCCTGGATGCCAATTGTATTCCTGTCCTTGGACTCAGTCCTGTTAATAAAGGTCATTATTGCTTGTTATAATTTGGTTTCTCAAAGAAGTCTTAATTATCTTCAAAAATTGCAAAGGAAATGAGAATTTGCACACTACAGATTGAAAAGGATGGAATGGGCTGAGAGAAAGTGGGGCATAGGCTTGAAGAACCTCTATGTTGTGTTAATTAAGCTGTCAGGTCTTGTACAGTATCATCTGTCATCTCTTTAGGCTCCAACGGACTTAATGGCAAAATGTCAGGAAATTAAAGTGTGTTGGCTGTTCTTTGAGACATTTAATAAATTGTTATGATGAAATACTATAATTCAAGGTAGTCGCCTTAAAAATTAATAGGAAACAACACAACATGTAAGAAACCCTTTCTGTCTAAAGCCAAAGATTCAACTAATTGAGAATCTTATTGCCATATTTCCTATTTCTACACTAAATTACTGTTTTCTAAGTCACTGCCTATTGGAATAGGGGTATTTAAGAGAAGCCAAAGAAATTAGGGACACCTCAACCCCCAGGACATTCCCTAGGTTCTCCATTAGGTAGTTGAGCAATGGCTATTTGGGGGGGTGAGGAGTTGGGGTGGACGGGGGGGGGGGGGGGGGGGGCGTGAATCTCAGGGCACCAGCCTAGCCATCCTGAGGCTGTGCTTAGTCCCAGGCCTGTGAGTTCCCTTTAGTAGATTTAGAATTCGAAGATTATGACTTGACAACATTTCTTGAATTGGTAATAAGGAAATGCAGTCAATTTTCAGCCAGCCAAGATTTTGATTGATTGATTGATTGATTTGAGAGAGAGAAAGAGAGGGAGAAATAGGAGATAGATGAGAGATAGATGATAGATAGATTTGTTATTCTACTTATTTATACATTCATTGGTTGCTTGTTGTATTGTCCTGACCTGAGATTGAACCCGCAAACATGGTGTATTGTGATGATGCTCCAACTGATATATATATATACATATATAAATACTATATCTATCTATATATATATATATATATATATATATATATATATATATATATATAAATAAAATGAAGGATCCAGGGCAAGGAAAATTCTTCCAGCAAGTAGACCTTGAGGCAGCCTTATTACCTGACCAAGGAGCTCATTGCCAAAAATTTAGTAAACAAATGGACACTCATTAAATTATCTAGCCAGCACTTTTAAAAAATTCTCACCTGAGGATATTTTTCCCTTTTCAGAGAGAGTGGAAGGGAGTGGGGGAAGAGAGAGAAACCTCGATGTGAGAGAAACACATCGAATGGTTGCCTTGTGCACACGTCCCAACTGGGGCTGGGGCTCACACCTGTGATCCAGGTGCGAGCCCTGGACCAGGGATTGAATCCGTGGTTCCTTGGTGTGCATGCTGACACTCCAATTACTGCACAACACCGGCCAGGGCAAGTCTGGGCATTTAAAAAAAATACATATTTGTATTGATTTCAGAGAGGAAGGGAGAGCTAGAAACATCAATGAAGAGAGAGAATCATTGATTGGCTGCCTCTTGCACATTTCCCCT